ATTGCCACAGTTGGATGGGTCCACTGCCTAGAAGGACAAAGGAAACATGAGACATTAACGCCAGGAAAAGCACGGCCCCTTCTATCCCAGGGAGGCGGGGAGGGGAATCACATGCAAATGGTGCTCACTGAAAAAAATAAAACCTTCTACTATCAAAAAAACCCCATCAACGGCCACAGGGCAAGATCTGGGCTGAGGTGACAGCTTGAGAGTTAAATCCTGCAGGTAAAAGAGCTTCCTATTTGCAGTAAGAGCTGAATATTCATGCACTGGAATGCTTCACTTCGAGTTACATAAATAGGATTATTTTTCTGGCATCCAAACTGCGAGGAGTCATTGCCTTGGCACAAGAGCACCACCATTTCCTCTGTGCCAAAAAGCTCCTGGCCATCGCATGAACTCCGGCAGACTCCCGCTTCCCGACCTTGACTCTTTGCTCTGTCGCTGTTTAGCGAGATAAGGGGGAACCCAGGTATGAAAATTATTTGGCCTCTTTCCAGAGCGTGTTGCTGCAGGAATGGGCTACGCCGGCTCGCAGAGCTCAGCGGGCTGCTGGCGCACGGGGAAGGCAGGGGCTGGCTGGCTCAACAGACAGATCTCACCAGCTCAGGACCGGTGGATCTCCCCATCACGGTCTTGGCACGGTCTTAGCAAAGCCACAAGCAAACCTCCCTGCGGCTGCTGGTTCCCTTAATCCAGCCGGAGAGGCACGAGGCGGCACGCAGTATCCCATGCCAAGTACATTCAGCCTCTCCTTACAACGCTGTGGTCTCCATCTTTCCCCTGGGTGCTAATTTTGGCCACCAGCAATTTGCCTCGGGGTCCTGAGCCCGGCACATCTAACCTGGAGCACCCGGTGCACCCCACTGAGAGCCTGTGGCTTCGCAGACTGGTTTTGGCTGGATTAATGGTGTACGTGGAAGGATTTCGAAATGCTTATCTCTTCTTTGTGGTTGTGTCCCAATCAAAGGTAGAGGAGAAGCCCTCGAGCCAAAATCTCTTTGATGAGCAACTTCCAAATGCAGCCGCACCCAAAATATTGCACTTAGCTCTGGGCAACATGTTTTGGGAGAGATTTTGCCATGTTTTAAACGCAGCTTAGAATATATCACTAATAATAAGAATGACAATAATAATAATAAACAGAGCCAGGGGTTAGAGGAAATGATTTATCACAAAAAGAATTGCATAGGCTGGATTAGGACGGCAGGCTGGGGTAAACCCGCCTGCTGACAGCAATGAGCACAAGCTTCAAGCAGGGAAAAAAGAGTTATGTACTTAGAAAAAGGGACTGAGAACAGCCGATTTCCAGGAATGACAACGAAGGCTGTCAGAGCTGTGGCTGCGGGATAACCCGCGGAGGGAAGAGAGGGCTGCTCCCCCTTTTCCACAAGGTTTAAAATGACTCAAAAGCAGACAAGCTGCTGGGGAGGAGGAAATGAGAGCGCTGGCTCCGGGACAGGGGAATCGCTGTCCAGCCCTCCCCAAATTGTTTCCCTCCTGTTATCCCTAAGGAACTGCTCCAGGGTTTTGCAGGCATCAGGTCCTCCGCCAAGCCCTGGGGGTTATCGCCCAGCCGTGGGCAGGACAAAGCAGGGAGCTCAAAGCATCTCTCTGCTTGCAAATGGGAAGATGACACTCAGCGGGGAAAGGCTCCAGCCCCGTTGTTCTCGGCAGGAGCTTGCCAAGACATTGACTCTGCGACCGCGCTCTCCGGTAGGGATGGAGTTGGATTATCCGCGCCAGAACAACGGAGGAAATTCAGATGACGCCTTCGCCTCTTATCCAAAAGGGAAGAGCCAAAACCCTGGCCTGAAATGCCACCGCATCTCAAAGCTTAGACCTATTTATAGCAGCGAGCTTTAAATACAGAGAAAACATTGGGCAAAAAGGTTATTTCAGCCGCCTGAGGTCCTCCATGGGGAATCGCAGGTGAATTCACATGAGGCCGGTCCCTCTTGGCCCTTCTGACTCTACACCAATTCCCTAGACGCATACCGAGAGCATTCAACACCCAAATCAGGCTAACAGAGAAACAGACCTAGGAGACAAGACCAAAGCAAGACCAGGTTCATCACCTCGCATTGATTTCTCTCCTGCCCAACCAAAGAACTAGGATTTTTTTTTTATTCCTTCCCCAAAATAAGATGGATGGAAACCCACCACCTAGGCACCAGGTTCTTGGGTAAGCAACTGCCCTCAAAATACCCCTGGGCCACCCTGGCTCTGCGGGAGCCTTTCAAGGTTCAAGCATCATTAACCCCGAGCCAAGCGGCCAGCGCAGTTCACGCTTGGTGCTCATGGCTCGGCTGCCAGCTGGCATGGAGAGGCGTCGGGAAACCCAGCAATTTCTCACCCTCTCTCCAGCAAGGGAGGTAGGGCTCCTGCCGCTGTGCCGGGTGCCGCTCTGCCGGGTATTTTGGGATTTTGAAGGAAGCAGTGTCATCCTTGGAACAGGGATTCCCAAGGTCTATTCCAAGCTGCCTGCGGGACACGCGTAAAACCCCAAATTCCTCTGTGTTGGACAAGCAATTATGTCAAGAATGTGTTTACTGCAGGGCTCGCAGGCATGTCTCAGCTCCTATAAACACACGCCCTGCCAGAGGGGAAGACAGCAGAGGCCCTGCAGATGTGCCGCTGCTGGGGCACGGCTCCGAAATGTCAGCGAGGCGGGCGATGTATGAGGTGGCAGGAACCAAACCCCGGCACATGCCCGAGCCTGCGTGCCCGAAAACAGCTCTGGGGATACCGCAAGGTAGGAAGGTGAAATGATCAGAGAAGGCGTGCTGGAGATCCATGCATCATCTGGTGGGCCAGTACAGCTGTAATTAGTGCTGAGAGGGCTATCTTCAGAAATGAGCTTCTTTTGACTGCTCTCCAGGCCAGCAAGGAGCAGGGAGTTATTTTTCCCAGTGCCTAAAAGGATTTCAAGGTGACTCTTGGCTTGTGCAGAGATGCCATCCCCCCGACGTCGTGTCCCCAAAGCTGTCAGGGCAAGCTGCCAGGCTTGTCTCCGCACCCTTCACCCCTGCTGGAGCTGGGAGCAGCGCCCATTTTCCATCCCTTCTGCTTCAACCCTTCCACTCGTCCCCAGCCAGGGCTGGAAATCCCCACTGCGACGCCTGGTCCACATCACTTCATGGTACAAGCACGCACAGCCGCACCGACTGTCCCAAGGCCGGCGTAGCTCTGCGGGCGTACCCCACCACGCAACCTGTTGCCTTGGTTATCTCCAAAAACAACCACCACTGGAGTGTTCTTGCAGCCTTTTTTTGGATGCAGCCCCAAGCACGGGGTGGAGGGACACAAGCCATCTTTTACGGCACTGGTCCTGCCGCACACATCCAGGGGCTTCCCAGAGCAAGCCCAGCCCTGGCTGGGGAATGGCGGCAGCCCCTGCTCCACAAAAGACAAGGCGAGGACTCGGAGGGCGGTGGGATGTCCTCCAGCCCCGCCGCGACCTCCAGCACCCACGGAGGCTGCTAAGAATAGTGCCCGCCGGAGGGGCTCGCCCACCGACAGGGCCACAATGGGGGCCCTGTCTGGCCTCGGTGGCACTGAACGGGGTCCTTCAGTGGGGAGTGTCACACCGTAGGAATTCTCCCGCGTCAGGGGGAAAATATGCCTCTTAAGCCGGATGACAGCCGGCTGCTACAGCGGGAAGCGCTGGCTGAGCGGTGCCTCTTTGGCACCAGTCCTCTGACGGCACCTATGGGCGTCCCCAGAGCAAAGGGTCTGGTGCCACGCCATCGCCGTGCCATCCTCCCTTGGTCGGGACTGGAGTTTCCCTACCACCTTCCCACCCAGTGGCTCTGGAGGGGTTTGAAACCAAAATACGCACGACGACCACTTTCACTGGCGCGGTGATGGTGGTACCACCCGGCTGCGGCAGACAGGCATCTGCGCCGTAACCGGGAAGGCACGGCCCGAAACACATCATCCCCACTCTCTCTCGAGACGGTTTCACACCCCCACCCATCTCAACGGCCTCTGTTGTGTTCTCCTTCTTTCAAACAACAAGAAAAGAAGAAAAAAAAAACCCTAGTGAAAAAAAAAACGGCGCACCTAAGCTTTTCGCTCTGTGGTTTGTGGTTCCAACCCAACAAAACAATTGGGCATAGCAACATCTCCAAAACAGCCTTTGCCTTGCTCGTGTGCCCGCCTTCCCCGAGTCCCCTTCGATGACACTGTGGTGCTGGAGGTCCCCAATCCCCCCCTGCTGCATTGGGGTCGGGGACGACAAAGCTCACCCCCATCGCTCCCTTGTTAGACCAAGCCCAACCGCCTCGCCCCCAGCTCTCGCCCAGGTCACGCCACTGCAAAGTGCCAGTTTTGCATGGGTGGGAGGGCAGCGGCGGAGCTCAGATGGAAGCATCTCCAAAGAGCAGGCGTGAAGAAAGCAAGGAAGGACCCAGAAAGCACGTTTTGGGAGCCACGTGCTTTTGGCCACGCTTACAGGCAGGAGAGTGGCCAGGTGGGCCACTCTAGGCCAGTTTGGCTTTCCTGATGCATCTCCTCTGTTTCGAGGAAGAACGTACTGGGAGGACCGGTCTCACTCCCGAGACATCCAGCAAAGCACAAGGGGTTTCGTGAGCTTCACATCTCCCCCTGAAGGTGGTCCTGCAGGCCAAGAGCTGCCGTGCAACGCTCCAGCTCGTTGTTCGAAGGAGGGACTAAGCCACAGTTGCTGCTTTGCCATCACCTCTGGGCTGCTGAGAAACCGCTGCTGGCGGCTGCAGGGGCTCTGGTGAGAGCTGCGCTGTCGTCACGGTTGGGCAGCGTTGCGTGGGGCTGATTTCACTGTCATTTGCACATGTCTGGCAGGTGGAGCAGGAGCCACTGAACCAGCCCCGAGCCCCACCCTTGAGCTCCCCACCTTGCAGAGGCCAAAAGGGCTGCTGAGCCCATGCAGGCTCTGCACCGGAGGCAAAAAGCGGGCAGGAGCTGCTGGCTGGTCACACTTGAAGTCACCCTGCAAGGGCAGGTAAAGGGTATAACCCAGAACGAGCGAGCTAACAACAACCCCTGCATTGCAGAGGGGCCAGAGGTGCTGTTGTGCTGCTTCTGATTGCTGGGGCAGCAGACTGCACCTCCAAATTCCCCTAAACCATGATAGAAGTGGCTACAGAGGCCCATACAGGCACATGTCTCCAGAAGTGCAGGCAAGCAGGCAGGAAGGATGCTGATGCTTCTAGGAAAGCTACTGCACAGACTCTGGATGTCAAGGACAGCTGGATCACCAGCCTGTGGTGGGAGAGGGGCCGGGAAGGCAGCTTCTGGCAGATTTTCGGATGCCGATGACCACAGCACATCCAGCGAGCTCGCTGGTGGAAGCCTCAGGCCAGCAGCACAGGCAACAAGAAGAAGAGGGGAAGCAACACACAAGCTCTCTTGAAAGAGACCCACTTTCTTTGGCACCGACTTGACTTTCTTGCAAAACAGCAGCTGCGTGCTTTCACTTCTGTGTCACAGATAAGCATCGCTCAGAAACGCAGGCTTGTCAAAGGCTTCAGGCTCTGCACCACAGATGATTTGGACAGGGCAGATGGGTTTAGCAGGCAAATTTGGGCCCTATCAACATGGTACTGCGAATGCTGATAGCGAGAATCAGGGCTGGATCTGGCCCAGGCAAAACAGTTTGGTAGGCAGAAGCACTCCTGGGCGCTCAGGCAAGATAGCATCTGCAGAGGTGGCTATTCCCTGCACTACTTTCTGTCTTCTTTAAGGGCAGCATAATAATGAAGATAGCATCAATCTGTCGCTAAGAGAGACACTCGGGTCATGTGTGATATTATCTGGGAAGGGGGCATTAACTCTTTAGGTGCTGAGATTGTCTATGAAGGCATCAGCAACTTCCTAACCGGGTCCATAAGAAAGGACAGGAGCACAAACACAAAACCAGCCTTGCAGATGAGGGATCGAGGTTTGATGTGCATTCACTTCACCTTTCTTGTCCCTCTTTCCTCCTTTTGCCTCTCAAACACGAGGGGAAACGCTCTGCTCTGTCTGTTCAGCTATGTGGAGCAGCAGCTCGGCACATCACAGGTCTGGTGGTGTGGCAATGCAGACAACACCGCGAGATGGAAAGCCCCGGCCTGCACAGACGATGCTGAGGTCCTACGTGCCACAAAGCAAACAAACACCACATCTTGGCTGTAAACCCACGCAGGTGCTTTGGGGTGCTCAAGAAAAGCTGAAAACAATTCAGCCCTGAGTGGCTATCGCCAACCTCAGGGGCAGAGGGAGGGTCTGAACCTCCGCTGGAGCTGCATTACCAGGAGGGCAGCAGCACAAGTAGGTCAGAGTAGTGGAAAAATAAATACAGGGCAGAAAGGCCAAAGACCAGTGCGGTCAGACCCACACCACCTGCCTTCTGCATGGGCTGCAGACCGCCCGCACTCATCCACGTGGCGTCAGGTCTCACGAAGGGTGTTGGTGGCCATGGTACCCGTCGGAGGCAGCGGTTTGCAGGATCCAGCTATGGCACAGCCCCAGGCAGGGCTGCAGGTGGCACGGAGGCAAAGCTGAGCTTGCTTTAGCCCAGCTGGGCTCAGGTATGGAGAGATCTGTGCCCGTGCACCAGCACACACCGAGGACGAACCACCCACCCACACCAAACACTGCACTGCTGCATAAACGAGGGAGCTTAAACCGAGCTCAGCTAAGCCAACGTGGGGTTTAGCACATCTGCCTACAGAGAAGGTGCACCCTGACACACCGCTTGCGTAAATTTAATAGATGCATTCTGTCTCCGTTTCCTAGGTCATGTCAAAAAAGAAAAAATTTGGCTTAATGTAAGACTCAGACTAGCCAAGCTTTGAGAGAACTGGCCCAAAAACCAGAGGTGTCCAGAGCCGGCCCTCCCTGCAGCTATGGAAACTAAGTTCACCAACTCCTGAGCAGTTACATTTCTCCTTCAAAAAAGATAAGAAAATTGCATCAACCTCTATCTGAGCAGCCATGGCAACTTGTTAAATTAGGTCAAGATGTGGGGGCAGATAACATAGCTTTGAAAAGCTGCTTGCGAGCTGGGTGAAGAACACATCAAACGCAAATGGAGCTTCCGCCAAAATGCACCTTCTCACCAAAGCATGCGCCTCCTAGGGCAGATACCATCAGAGATCTGTCACAGCTGCGATAAAGCACTGTGCCACCTCCCTGGGCAAAACAGGGCCTTGGTAACAAAACCTGAACAATATTGTCAACTTCTTAAAGTCAACCCAGAGAGCCCTGGAGATGAAGGATGCCATCTCCCAGGCTTCACCGTTCCAGCCCTAAAAGGTGCACACCATGGCGTGTCTGTTGGGTGCTCCACTGGCTGGTGATGGGTGTTGGACACGTGCTCGAGGTCTCATCCCAGCCGCTTTGGGACCCTGGGCTGGTAATCCCCTGCTCTGCTCGTTTGGAGGCTCCACCTCCTCACCAGAACTGCAAACGGAGTCCAGACTTGAAGTTCCTCTGCTCTAGCTGCTAGACAGCACTTCCTCCCCCAAGTAAAGTAAAAGTAATGTAAAGCAAAGCAAAAAAAGAAGGACCGAGGAGTTCTGCCTTGCTCAGCTGGCCCAAGAAAGAGGTCCAGCACTTCTCAGTGGCCAGCCTGGATTTCCCCCCCCCCCCCCCGAAATACACTAATACAAAACAGTTTTGAGAGTGCCCAGTTCTCCTACAGTTTGTAATGCAACATGTTCTCACTCGCTCTCGCTGTGACCTGCTTTCAGAGCAACCTGGCTTCGCTTTGCACCCACACTGGGCTCCCTTTGCACAGAAAACGTAAGGTGCTGACAGGCCAGTAGGCTTTAAAAAGGGACAGAGGACATCTCTGGAGTCGCACGCCTGCAAACTTCATCTGTCCAAAGATTGTTCCCAATGGTAAATGCAGGCTGTGGCGGTTTGAGGACTGAATTATTGCTTAGCAGCCTTCGAAGCAAGCAAGCAGTGCTCCAGCCCAAGGATTTCCAAGTGCCTGCTGATTCTGGAAACCTCTGATTTTCCTCTCCCCATTTAAAGTTTCTCAAGTGAAGCAATGCAAAAAAAAAAAAACAAAAAAACAGGCGCTCCCACTTATTGATCACACCGAAATGCCTGGGCCAAGGGATTATCTTCCCGGCTCAAAACGGGGTTTGAAATGAAGCAAGGGAAAATGTTACACAGCGCAAAGCGTTTGGAAGTGTGCTCTGGCATTGCATTAACCGAAGTCTCCCCTTCCTGGCGGCACGAGTCCAAGGACACTCTTTGGGGTGCTAATACTCCTTGGCAAAACACAGGGTCCAGCCACTGACTTCGGCTCCTCACTTGCTGCGGGAGCTGGGAACGCCGTCTCTCTGTGGGGGCGGCTCTTTTCCATGAGCTACAGCAAATGTGGGGGGAAACATCCAGCTTGGAAAATGAAGCTCCTAGTTTTGCCAGTGCCTCCGTGCCTCAGTTTCCCCAGCTGTTAAAATGCAACCAACGTTCCTGACCAGGCACTGGGTACCCAAAACACTTCCACGGGCCATAGTGAAAGGCGTTATCAGGAGAAAATAGGAATAAAAATTGCAAGTTGTGCTCACTGGTCTCTTTTCTTAGGAACATCAACTTCCGTGGCATGGCGGAGGATGGTGTCCCGGGGCACGGCCCCTCCTACCACTCATGCCTCTCCCCACCACATCCCCCAGTCGAAAACCATTCAGGAATAGCAGAACACACTTTTATTTTGCATAAACTTGGTCGAAACAGGCTCATTCAGCAGGCAGGGCTGAGCTTTCTTCTTAACTAAAGCTATAGCAACAAACCACTTCCTTTTTTACACATAGCTCCTAAAATTATCTCTCCACCTCTCCTCCCCTTTGCATCTCTTCCCCCCCTTACAAAAAACTAGATATCAGCCCTAAGATGAGCCGTGCGTGGGAGGAGATTTCAGGGACAGTCGCACCTCAGGATCTGCTCTGAACCTTTCGATGATCTTTATCTGCACAAACTATTTCCACCGCTTGGCTCCTCCCGGCCACAGCTGCTACGAGCTGGGGCAGGAGAGATCAGTATATAGGAGGGAAAGGGGAACTGGCAGGAGGCTACCCTGTGAATTTTACTTATAGTACTGGGAAAAGACATGGCACAGGCAAACTGGAAAGAATTATCTCAATTTTAGCTGGAAGCCCTGTCCCACCAGGTTTCTCTCCATGGAGATGCCAGATTGCTGGAGAGCTGTCACATAAAAAGCCGGAGTTTCCGTGGCCTATCACCTTCTCATCTCTCCCAGTGCAGGGAATGGAAAATGTCTGGGTCTGCTTTGGCACGATCACATCCCTGACTTGCACCAAAGTAAAGAGCAAAACCAAGTGCTTCCTCCGTGCCAAAAGGGGAGAGGATCGTTTCACGTCACACACAGCAATGCCAGAAATGCAGCCGCTCCTGCCCGAGGTGGGAAACCACAAGCAAGTGGCCAGCACAATGCATAGAAGCGTTGGAGGGGGAAATGAGGGCTCTCTACTACCTTGTGTTCTCAGCAATACAATCCAGACACCAATTCCTACCAGATCCAAGCAGAAGGCATCCAGGCATAAATGAGAACACAAGGCATCAAATGCCCTGCGCTCAGCCAGGTCCTACACCCTCCATGAGGTCTGGAGTGCCCACACTTGAAGGACGTGCAGCCTCGGGGGGCTGCGTGCTCTCAGGTGTGCCCGCAGGCATGTGGCTGCCCCCAGGGGCACCCCAAAACCCCTCACTCACAGACCACTGAGGACATTGGGCAACCCAGAGACCCTGGAGGCTCTGCCCTCCGACGATGGAGAGGCTCTACCCAAGATGTTCAGCAGAGAGCCGGATTCCTGAGGAGTGTGACCCTACCTGTGTAGCCAGCAAGGGCAGCAGCAGG